CCAGTCCAATAGAGGCAATTCCCCGATTGAGGCTCCCTCAACCCAGGTGTGTCAAGTTGACACTAAAGCTGTCCAGCACAGATTCTGAAAGACATCTGACAGTAACTTTGGACTGGAATCAACATCCACACACAGAGATGTGTGTATGTGTGCTTTTGCACAAGCACACACATGTGTACCCACACAGATGTGATTATGCATGTACGCATGCATTCACACACACCACACATGTATACACAGAAAATATCTTTTGACTTGTATTTGTCAGTATCCTCAAATATTATGTGCTTTATTTAAGATGAGGAAAGCTGTATATTGTTAGCCAGTGAGCTACTTAAGCTAATTTTACTGTTCTCATCCTTTATTAGGACCATTTATTATGACAGATTTATTGATTTCTCATTCAGATGAAATTTTTTCAAGTTTTCTTAAACATTGTATATGATTTATTCTCAACTTAGCTTTCTGTGTTGTTTCTTGCTACACTGTTTACCTTGATTTTCACACTGTATGATGTTCAATACAGCACTTATGATTTTTCTTGAGGGCACTTAGCATCTGGAACTCACTATGTAGACCAGGCTGGCTTTAATCTCACAGTGATCCACCTGCCTCTGCCTCCTAAGCACTGGGATCAAAGGTGTGTGCCACCATGCCTAGCTCCAAATATTTTTTTACTGTTTAAAAAAAATTTTCTGTGTGCCATCTGTGTGGGGGTTTACATGTATGTGAGTGCAGTGTTTGTGGAGGCCATAAGATGGTGTAGGATCTCCTGGAACTGCTGTTATAGGTGGTTGTGACCTACCTGACAAGGGTGTTGGGAACCAAATTTGGGTGCTCTGTAAGAGCAGTAAGTGCTCTTGATGACTGAGCCAGTACTCCAAGCCCCAAATCTTTGACATTTAGAAATCTTAGTACAATGCCTCTGAGTGAATGTCTTATATCATTAGTTTTGCCTGTGTGTTGATCCCTCTGAGATTGCAATTCAGACATTTCTTTAGTTCTTAGATATTGTCTTCATTGTCACTTTGATAATTCCCTCTTCTTTCCTGTTTCTCCCTTTAGACTCTTCTACAATTCTTCCTGTGTCATGTTAGGTTGCCTCCGTCTGTTTTTCAAGTGCCCTCTTTTCCTATTATAATTTTCTTTTTTAAATTTTTTTCCCATTTTAGTTTTCGTTTCTTACATTTTTACTTTATGCTTTGAGGTTTATTCTCACTGTTCTTTCCTGTCACTGGTTGTTTTGTATCCTCTGCTTGTTCTAATGAAGTATTCAGCTTGGTAATTTGAATTTTAACTTAACTTTTGAAAATTTTAGAAATCATTCCCTCCCTCCCTCCCTC